CCATGTTACGATTCCTGCTGATGTAGAAGGTGCTATCTGGAGAAGGGAGGGGCAGTCCGAGTCCATGGGCAGTACAGCTCAAAAGTCTTACAGAGACCTCCATCTAGCCACCCTCTACAGCAGCAGGACGCAATTGCCAGTCCCACGCCACAGTGGCTGGTTTAAAGATGAGCCTGGAGCTGCTGATGGCTTCCTCATGGGGGTGAGGAGAGAAGAGCCATCTGAAATAAACACCAAGAGTGAAGAGGCTGAGAAGACTGAACAATCTGAGTCCTTGGATCCAGCCAAGCCTAAAGCCAACAACGCCTCAGAACCTTCAAATAACTAGACTCATAAAATATCCCGTCTATTCCATCCAGTGTAAGCTGGTCTTCCATTATTTAAGATCAATACGTCTTGGGGAAGGTGACAGCTAGGGAGGAGGCAGAAGCCACCCTATGGCTGGATAGATAACTCACAGTGGGAGCCAAGCATGTGCCTCTGCTCTGACCTAGGGCGCATCTTTGGTTCCCCTGCTGTGGGCTTACTGCTGTCCAGGCAGTGCTAAGACACAGTTGGAAGGAAAGAAGATCCCCCTATGAGGAGCAGCCCTTGTCCCCAGCCCACAATGCTAGGAGCTTCCTCACCCTAGAGTTTGAGCTGACAGAGCCCAACATGTGACCTTGAAGGTACCAGGTCCACTTTTCTTTGTGGCTTTTAGGAAACCTAAAAGTCTGACCAGGGGGTAGTCCAACAGAAAACCCCAAGAAAAGATGCTCAAACCTCCCACAACAGGGACTTTCTTGTTGCCACAAGACCTTAGACACACTTCAGAGGCTCTGATAGATGTGCTGGGAAGCATCTTTTCTTGGGATTTTTCTGTTGGACTACCCCCTGGTCAGACTTTTAGGATTCCTAAAAAGCCACAAAAAAAAGTGGACCTGGTACTTTCAAGGTCACATGTTGGGCTCAGTCAGCTCAAACTCTAGGGTGGGGAAGCTCCTAGCACTGTGGGCTGGGGACAAGGGCTGCTCCTCATAGGGGGATTTTCTTTCCTTCCAACCGTGTCTTAGCACTACCTGGACAGCAGTGAGCCCACAGCAGGAGATAAGGGGACATGCTGCATATGCTGTGGTAGTAGATGCTTAGCAGGTAGCCTTGCGCATAGTAGGACTCCACCAAATTGCCATTCGTCATCATTACTTCTCATACCTGCAGGCTTCTTTTCGATTGAGTGTGTAAAACTGGTGTGAATTAGCTCACCTGCTGTGTAACCCAGGAAACACTAGAAAATTCTTCCATAGCAACGTGATATATATTCCCTCGGCATTTTTTTTCTCATTCACTGTGAAAAGAAAAAATTTACCACCAACAACCTCCGTCTACACCCCCCCCACACACACACACACACCCTGTAAATAATGGTGAGGTGCTTCTAACCATTATGTCTGGGGATAAGTGTTTGGCATGTCTTACGACATGAGTCTCTGCAGGGTCATATCTTGCATTTACCAAATTCCAGAAGAATCTGCCTCTTGACTGGTCCCAGGGTCCTCATTTCTGGCCAGAACATTCTCAAGTAGCTTCAGGGAGCACAGCGGTTCTGCTTACTCCTTCAGTGCTATGGGAATCTTCAGACCCCATACCCCAACCCTGTCAAGATCACTCTACCTGAGCGTAGCCAGAGTGATTCACAAAAGGAAATAGCCTGGTGCTGGTGGGGTCCCTTGGCTCATGACAGAGGGACTCCAGCTGAGAACAAAGCCAGGCCACCGGGAAGCAAAGGAAAGAGTTAAGGGACGGGTCCTAACGAGCCACACCTGAAGATTTGTCACCATGTGAGCTAATAAGTTCTCTTTCCTGTTTAAACCAACTTGATGTGGATTCTCTGTCACTCGTAACTGAAGCCGGACTGAGAGATGTCGAAGATTCAATTAGAGTCCTACTAAACGGATTAGGAGAGCAGTGGACACAGTCATCAGTCATAGCTGCCTTCAGCCTTTAAGTAGAAAAGTTTACCCGCATGACTTTAGGAACAGGCAGGCAGATGCACACATACGTGTTTCAGGACAGTGGAGACAGGGCTTGCTTGGGTATCTGTATAGCAGTGGGGTCATGCTACCTGCTGTCATCAGCACTTTCTGTGTACATCTCAGTTTCTACAAACACATGCTTGGGTACTAGTTGTGTTCTCCAAAGAAAGGGGGTTCCATGCTGCATCTTCCAGTGTGGTGGATGAAACAGAACTGATGAGACTCCTTTACTGAAGAACTTCTCTCTCTCTCTCTCTCTCTCTCTCTCTCTCTCTCTCTCTCTCTGTCTCTGTCACACACACACACACACACACACACACACACACATATACCCCACTCCTAGGGTGAATGCCTTTCCCAGTATGATTTATGATTTTTTCCCCCTAACACCCATTTGCTCAGAGAAACTCAAGGTACAGTCTTGCAGACCATCCTTGGAGAACTAGGATTCCAGACCCTTGTTGTACCTGAGAGCTCACCACAAATGCAGATTTCTTGGGGCCATCCTGCATTGAAGCTGAATCTGTTTTTAGTAAGACGTCTGGGGACCTGCCCACCCGGTACATCCTGGCTCATCTGCTTTACTGCATCTAAGCAGTTATCAAGGAAGAATGAGGCATCAGAGGAGGGCTTCTATGCGGCCTCGTGGAGAAGGGTGTGGGGTGTTGGATGGATTAAATACATGTATCCACTTACAGCTCACTGAAGCTTGGCAGGGCACAATTTGTCCCTTACATCTCAGCAGTTTCATACCCCACCTCCCAAACTGGGAGCACTAAAGCAAAAGAAGCCAGACGACCATCAGTGGGTGTGCTAAGACATGTCGCCCAACTTCTCAAAGCCTCAGGGTACCATATGTAAGCTATGGATGAGGCTACCTCCGGTCACCTGTGGCAACTAGAGGCACCATGTGGAAAGCCCAGGTCCTTAGTGAGCAAGCATGTCATGGGAGCACCGAGGAACTTAAAGGGTTAAGGAATTATTTGGTAGAAAATCGGTACAAGTACACGGGGGGGGGGGGGGGGAAGAAGGGAAGTCAGAGGAGAGGGGAAGAGAGAGGGGAGGGAAAAGAAGATGGGAAAGGAAAGAAAGAAAGACCAAAAAAAAAAAAAAAAAAAGAACAAAAAATATTGACAATGTTGGCCTGGTGTGTCAGGTTGCTATTCACTGACTCCATTGGAAACCTCTCAGGATTCATCACCTGCCTATACTCTGCTGATTGTAGAAGCCCCATTCCTCTGACAGCTCACCATGTTTGTCCTTCCCAGGCCAGTGCACCCCAGGCACCATCAGGATTAATCCACTCTCCACCTACTTGCCAAGATGCACTTTCCAAAGCTCTCTGAAAACCCATCAAAATCACCTGGGTGCCCTTCTGCCCCACTGGCATAGGACTTGCCCCATCTGGGACCCGCAAAAAGGACAAACATAGTCAAAGATGTTGCCTGAACAAATGAATCGGGAGGCTGAATGAATGACGTTGTGCCACTGCCCAAGGCTCCAGTGGCAATTTAGTGCAGAGGGGATCCCGGTCGACCTTGTCCCTAGGCCCCAGCAGTGATCTCTTTTCATATTTAAGGAATTCACTGTCATCCTTAAAGGTCATTTGCCTGAGGGGTTGAGACTAGTAAGACAACAGAGAAGAGAAAATGTGCCCTAAATTAACCCAACTCCTCCAAGGACACTTAAGAGTCACTTGAAATGCTCCCGGGCTCTAAGTAAATCTGACCAGAGGCAGTGATTTTTCGGAAGCAACAAGTTTCCTGTGTGTCCATAAAAAGATCTCCAGTGGTTGTGGGGCTGAGGTGTAATTGCCAGCTCTGCAGATGGCAGGGCCAACCTGGGCTCCCTGAGGATGGGCGTTACTCAGGGCTGGTGGCTGGAGGCATGGCTGCTTGCCCAGAGCCGGAGCACCCTGAGCAGCAATTAGAACAGAACCCACGGTGGGCGGCTTCAGATGTCTGGCCGGCACAGCCAGCCCGACCACTGCACATTCAGTCCAAAATAGAAAACTGCCATGGGTTCTGCTGTGCCAGGCCCCTGGGTGGCAGGACAGCACCACCAATGTCAGCTTCTGCCTTGAGCATTGATCCAGGTTTTCTCCAAGAATCCCTGTGTAGCAACCATGGTCCTGGGGGACACCCCAGTGGCAAATGAGCTTTCCAGGGCTCTAGTCACAATGGGTGCCCCAGGTAATTCCAAAAGGGGACATCGCTGGTCCGTCAGGAGCTGCCCCCAAAATCAAACAGCCCACCGGCACTAGGACCTTCATGGCCAAATGCTCCCCTTGGCTCAAATCAGAGGCAGAAAGCTGACTTTTCAACTAGCCAACAATGCTTCAACAGGAAACCACAATATAAAAATCACTGGTTCCTGGTCAGCCAAGGGACAGAGGGCTGGCTGAGCATTCCGTATCACCACCTGCTCTCCAGGCTGTCATATGCATACACAGAAGCAAGGAAACTGCCAGCACCCATGCCCACCCCAAGCTGGGCACACACACGTGCTCAAACTCACTCTGACGCACATTTGTGAAGCCCACGGATACCTCCATGCTTGAGAGACAATGCACATTCACATATTCACACGGGTATACAAGTAGGTACCCAGAAAGAAGCATGCACATATTCCAAAACACGGGCAAACCCACGCGCATTTGCGTGCACTCTCGCGAGCGCGCGCGCACACACACACACACACACACACACACACGCACACACACGCACACAACACACACGGCAACTTATGCTTGTATGCAGCCTTGTATGCAAGGAGCAGCCTGGCACTGGGGATGGAGGTGCGTGCCCCCTTCTCTGACCAATCAAAAAAAATCGTGCCTTCCCGCCAAGCCCTGCAGCAAGGCGAGTACCTCCCTGAGCATTAGGGAGGAGAAAATGGTCCACAGCGCGAGCTCTGTCGCCCTCCCAGGGGACTCCCTAGTAATCAGAGGTCCAGAAGAGAAGGGAGCCCCTAAGAAAGAGGACTCACCAGCCCATCGCAGTTACTGAGCGCCACGGAGGAGGCTTTAGGTAAGCCTGCCACGTCCCCAACGTAGAGACAAGTCCCAAGCAGGGGCTCCACCCGGGTGTTACCGGTCTCACCCTGCCACTCCAGGGTGGCCCCCGGAGCCACGAGGCGAGCATTTGGATGCAGCCGCAGGTGCAGGTCTCGGCCGAATACCGTGAGATTGTAGAAGAGGCGTCCTCCGGGGTCCTGAGCGTCGCCTCTGGGCAAGCCTGAGGTCTGCACCGGGGCGGCTCTGCGGGCCCGTACCCCCGCTCCGGCCGTCTCCAAAGACACCACGTGGGACACCAAGCGGCCCTGGGCGTCAGTGCGCACCGGCACCGCCAGGATGCGCTCGGCTCCGCGCCCCGGGGGCCCGCCTGAAAAGGAAAGGGGCGTTAGACTGGCGGAGACCTCGGAGCCTGTCCGCCGAGCCCGGCGCCCCCACCCCGGGCCCTTGCCTCAGTTGGAGAGAACGGACATCCCACCAGGAAGCCTCCAGGAAGGGGCGTTGACAGGACCACCAGTCCGGAACCACGTCGCCTGCGCCGCCCCCCCCCCACCCGACCCAGAGGACCATGCCCGCTAAAGAGGTGCCCCAGTGGGTTCCCAGCTGAGGTTCCGCGGGTGTCTCTCAGTTACCCTAAAGGGCGACCCCATCAGAGTGCCCTAGCTCCTGAATTACACCGTCCTTGGTAGGACAAGGGGCTCCTCAGAAACCATTACACGCTGGTCCCCTGTTCACGCACCCGGACCCCTCAGCGGTCCCTGCTGCCCAAGCCTCACCATTGGCCTCCGGAGAGACCAGGACCGGACTTGCCCTCTCACGGGCGGCCTGACCTCGGTCCAGCTCGCGGTCAGCCCACTCTCAGCCCCTTCTCCCTCTTGCACCTAAGCCCGGGGAGGGGCGGAGCAGGGTCCCTCAGATGTCCGGGGAACCCCAAGCGAAGCTCAAGGCCCGCAGGCGGCGCGCTCCGCACCGGCTCCTCCCGGGCGTCCCCGGGCGCCGCCTCGCCCTGGCTCCCCCGGACCCGCTGGTGCTGGTTCGGCGCGCTCCGCCGCGGGGTTTGCCCAGTCCTCCGGCTCCACGCTCTGCAGACCGGGAGCGCCGAGCGCTCCGAGGCTCCCCGCATCCCAGGGCACCCGGGGTGCGCCCCCCCTGCGCGACCGCCCCGGCCCCGAAGTTGGCCAACTTGGCCCCGGGGCGCGGCGCGCGGAGTTTGCCCAAGTCTCCTCGGACGGTGCTTGAGTAGGGGGGCGGAGGGGCGCGCAGGGCGGGAGAGTGTGGCCGGAGGGGCTCGGGGCGGGGGGGGGGGCGCGGCTGGCACCTACCTGGGGGCTCGGTGGCGGCGGCGAGCCGGGCGCTCGCGGGCGGTGGCGGCAGCAGCAGGAGAGGCGGCGGCGGCGGCAGCAGCAGCAGCAGGAGAGCGGGGCAGAGCAGGCGGCGAGCGGCTCCCGCCGGCGGATCCATGGCAGCCCGACCGCAGCCGGGGCCCCGCACTCGCAGCCGGCGCGAAAGTTCCCCGCGCGCCGCCCAGCCCACATCTGGGGGCAGCTGGAGCCGCCCGCAGCTGCAGCACCGCAGGGCGCGGGGCGGAGGAGGCGAGGCGCGCAGGAGAGGGCGGGGAGCGCCGAGGGAAGGCGGGGAGAGCGAAGGAGCGAGCGAGCTAGCGGGCGAGGGAGGCGGGAGGAGGAGGCGAAGGCGAGCGAGGGGGAGGGCGGGGACGGCGGGCGCCTCAGCCTGCGGTGACCCGGCGCTTCTTGGCGCGGCCGTCGCCCGCTCCCCTCCTCGCTTCCCGGCTCGCAGCTAGCCAGAGACACCCCGAGGCGGCGGCAGGGAAGCGCTGGAGGCCTGCCAGGGAGAGCCCACTGCGCGCCCCATGTCACCTCAAAGGAGTGGCACCCCGCCCGGAGAGCCCTTTGGAGTGCGGGTCCCACCCTGCTGCCTTGGGACTCCTCCAGGAGTCCCATCTCACCCTCTTTCTGTGCTTTCTCACTGGATGAGACGCCGGAATGGAAAGAGGGTCTGGGAGGACATTGAGTCTGGTCCCAGTGCCCAGATGGATGCTCCAGAGGCGGGTTGGTACTTACCCCAGGGAGCAATCCCCCAGACTACCTCAAAGATCAACTTTTGCCCTCGCTTTTTAAAAGATAAGGTTCCCTCAACCCCCAACTCCTCTCTGTCCCTGTCCCAGTTCACCAACCTCTGGGTCTCCTTCCAAGCCCTCCATTGCAACCTCTGGCACAACCTCTTTCTGTCAGACTTGGGCCGTCTCTGAGAATACAGCTTAGTTCCTGCCTTTGCCCTCCTTGGTGGGCCTGTTGCCATGGTCTGCCCTTGTCCCCACCAGAAACGGTCCTGGACACTCTTCCATCTTTCCAAGCGAACATGCAAAGGCAGATGCCAACATCTCTGTCAGTTTGCTGTGAGTCCCAGTTGCCAACAGGAATCCATCCCCTCCAGCAAGGTCTAGTTCCTCCCAGTCCCTGGAGTCCCGCCAAGGCTGTTGTCCCTGAGCACCAAGGTCTCCCCCCCTCCACCGGTCTTGTCTTCTTGGGTCTCTCCGCTCGGACTCCCTGCTATTGGAACATCTATGCGATTTCCAGTTTTTGCTTTGCTCTCCCAGAGTGCACACCTGTCTCTTCTCTTTGCTCTTCCATTCCCCCTGCCCCAGGTCTGTATGCAGGGCCTAGGGCAGAGGACCCTGAGTAACTCCCTAGCAACAGGAGGGCCCAGTTTTATAGGGAAATACATGGTTTGTACAACCAGCTCTAATGGTGACCTCAGATCCTTGGTCCTGTCTGTTTTTCCTGGGACATGGCGTGAGGGCACAGGGCACAGCAGCCTGACAACCGTATCCATCCAGCAGATTCTTTGTTCCCTGGGGACACCCGAGGCTGGATCTAGCCTTCAGATGCAATGGATTCCTGTTGTCAACACCGGAAAACGATGAGATTATTGGGCATAGCCGCTTGTGTGTGTACTTCCAGCACTAGGAAGTCTGAGACAGGAGGATTGCCACGACTTTCAGGCCAGCCTTGACGACAGAGTGAGATCCTCTGTTAAGCAGACAAACCTCAAAAGAAAAAGGAATAGAAAGAAAGGTAAAACTGTGACATTTCAGTTTTTTTTAAATTATATTTCTAAATTTTCTGTAGGAACTGAAATATGTGGCCAAATTGGGCCCACACTCCTGCTTAGCCACAATTAAATGGGATACTTGTCTGTCAGCTTGCCGAAAGTCTCCTCTCCACACATGCACCCTGAAGGCATAATTCTTGTGACCTCTGGAGATCCAGCTTGTCCCAAAGTCGGAGCTGGGATCCCAGTGTGGCAGAAGGGAGATGACGCTAGAGCAGAGTATCCTGGAAACTTTGAGTACGAATCCGTGTGGAAGAGGAAGGGGACCAGGCAGGCCGGGATCGGGCTAGGCTAGCTGCCTTGCTGGAGGCAGCACTTTCCTGTGATACTCCAAGCAAGATAAAGGAAACAGAATCCAATAGCTTCACCTACTTCAGGGGGTCTAATTCCTGCCCCCTCATTTCCTGACCCTGTGGATGGTTATTATCAGTTTTCTTTTTCTTTCTACCGCTTTCTCCTTATGTAGCACTTTAATACCTTACTTTAAAATTTGAAGGATACATTAAATCACTGCCATGAAGAAGAAGTTGGTATCTTTCCATTGCACCATGAAGTCAAAGATCACTGTCCCTCAAATAAATGAAATGAAAAGTGAGAAGGGTTGCCAGATCCTAGCTACTACTGCCTTACCCTAAAAGGACTCTGGAGCTGAGAAGCTTGTGTGAGACAACTCCCAGACAAGGGCAGTGAAAGCCCTTCACCAGCCCTGCCCACCTGGTAGTCCTCACAAGATGCTAGGGGGGGATCAGGCAGGCAAACTTCACATTTTAAACACTTTGATAGAGACTGAGGGTTATTGACATGTCCCAGCAGGCTGCTCATACCTGCTGTGTGTGTCTGTGTGTCTGCGCGTCTGTATGTTTGTGCGTCTGTGTGCAAGGCTGAGTTTGTAGAGTGCTGGCCTATCATCCCCAGCACCTCAGAGGTTGAGGCAGAAAGATCAGAAGCTGAAAGTTTGGGGGCTGGAAAGATGGCTCAGCAGTTAAGAGCAGTGGCTGTTCTCCCAAAGGTCCTGAGTTCAATACCCAGCACCCACATGGTGGCTCACAGCCATCTGTAACTGTAGTCCCATGTGATCAGATGCCATCTTCTGGCATGCAAATGCACATGCAGGCAAACCACCCGTATTTATAAATAAATAAATAAATCTTTATATTTAAAAAAAAAAAGCTGCAAGTTTGAGGCCAGCCTGGGCTAGACACCCTGTCTATAACGTAATAATTATTTAATAGTTAATTATAAAATGATAGATTAATAACGAAATGATAGAATACAGAAAACAAAATCCCCAGTGCTTCTAGTCTCTTGAGTCTGTTTATTTATTCAGTCTCAATACCAAAGCCAAAACCAAAAAGCCATCAGGGAGGGGTCAGCCATTGCTTGGTTGTGGGCCATTGTTTTCAATTGAGCTTGGATGACTTCTGGCCTCCCTCTCCTACTTGTCCTAGTCCCCCTCCCTCCCTGTCCTCCACCTGCTCATTGCTTGTGGTTGTAAGGAGTCTGGTCCATGAAGCGAGTAGGATAGCATGATGGTCTAGAACACCCTACTGTGAGGGCATAGGAAGAAGAGAACTCAGGCTCAGATCCCGTCCTCTAAACCAGCCCTTTAAAATCTGAATGATTCAATCTCCACAAAGAGATGGAGACCCTTCCTGGCCATTCCTCTTGAGGAACATTAAGAAAGGAGAATGTGGAGGCTAGAGAAATGGCTTCCCACTTAAGAGCACTTGCTACCCTTCCAAGGGATCCGGGTTCAATTGCCAGCACTGACATGGTGGCTCACAACCATCTGTATCTCCAGTTTCAGGGGATCCAACGCCCTCTTCTGGCCTCTATGGACACTGCATGCACATGGTGCACAGACATACATGTAGGCAAAGATATATGTAAAATAAATAATAAAATATTTAAAAAAAGAAGGAAGCAAGCAAGTGAGTGAGCAAGAGAGAGAGAGAAATTGTCCCCACCCTCAGTGAAAGGGATGTTCAGGTTACTCTGCAGAGAGGGGTCCCTGTTCTCTATTCTGCCCCTAACCAGGGGGATCACAGATCACATCTGATCACACATGCCAGGACAAACTTCCTTAGATTACAGTAGCCCTCTGAGAGCCATCTCTGTGCACAGATGTCTGACAGAAAGCATCTCCCCAGAAGGCATTCTGCTCCTATTTCAAGGTCGCCTTCCTTGGCAGAGATTTCCAAATGGATGGGGGCAGTGGTATTTCACGACCTACCTTCCCAAATAGCAAAGTTCCAGAGGTGGTGGGAAAGGATTCCAACTCTTCCTGTCCACTGGGCTGCACAGAGCATCCCAAGTGAGAGGAGTCAGTGACCTTGTGGAGCCTCTGGAGACAGCAGCTTCATCCAACTCCATTGCTGGCAAACAGCAGGTGCGGTGGCCCCGTCAGATGCACTGGAGGAGTTCTGGCCAGGAGTGGCTTTGGTAAGCAATATGTCAGGGGGAACGCTGATTGAACAGAAAGCGGTGGCTGGTGGCCTTCTGGGAGTGTCACTATTGCTGCCTCCCGAGCCACCCCCACACGCACACCCCGACAGGGAGCTGTGTCAGGCAAGTGAAGGAACATGGGTGGTGGTGTTTACGCAGCATTTTCTGTTTGTTATTCTCCACACGAAGGCATCCCTTGGCCACCGGGATCAGTGCTGCCTGGGACTAAAAGGGCCTGAGATCTGGATGCATAGGGATCTGAACTCGGTCAACAAGTCTCACCTGTGACCTGTGACCAGTGCTCACCTGTGATCGCCTTTCCACATATGCTCAACCTAGCCGAGAGAGCAGGAAAGAACTTTAAAAGGGACACCGGAGTGTGGCTGACAATGACATCTAGGCTCACTTGGGACAGTGAGCCTGTGTCTGGACTCTCATAGGAGCCAGGGATGGAGGACTATCTGGTCTACCACTTTCTTCCTGAAAGGACACTGGGTCCCTTCAAAGGCTTCAACTAAAACTACCCAACCTATACGCACCCTAGGGAAATATAATATGTCCCCTACAAGAAGTCCACAGGGCCGGCAGCTCCGGTGCCCATGGCATCCAGAGCAGTGCCATTTGGGAATCATCCTTGTCCTAAATGGCTAGGAAAATAGCCAAACAACAGGTGTCTCATTGCCCTCTTGGAAAGCCAGTTGGCGAGAGGATTGAGGCTGGGTCAACCAGTTGTTGGCAGGCAGGAGTGGGAGCCTTCTGGGAGAAGCCTGGGACAGAGTGGCTGTTGGGTGTCCATGTGGCAGCACCTGATCCATCTGCCTCTTTCCAAATAAGAATGCCACATCAGAAGCCCTGTGTGACTATGGGGTTATCAATAACAACAA